GAGAGACAGACAGACAGACAGACAGATAGACAGAGACAGAGACAGAGACACACACACACACACACACACACACACACACACACACACACACACACACACACACACACACACACACACACACACACAGGGCGACATATCGCTGAAAACCTGCACCCTACTGATAGGGGCATATGGAAAATTTTGGCGCTGGTACTCATTGGCGCTCCGGTAGGGGCATACGGCAACTTTGAATGGGTACCGGTAGGGGCATAACAAAAATATGTCAGGCCCAGCCGACGCCGGGGTTTTATGGGAAATTTGAATCGTGGTCAGAGGGGCACAACAGGGTAAGTGGCATGTCGGAGGGGCGCCAGGCAAATTTTCCCAAAAAAAAGAAATTCCGACGCGAAAAAAAAAAACAAAAAAACAGACGCCCCCCCCCAAAAAAAAAAACTGACACCAGGAAAAAAAACAATTTTAACCCACAACCTCCTTGACGAAACTGCCACCCTGACACCACTGCCGGCCTGAGTTACAACCGCCTTTTCACACTCAGGTCATGTCAAAGTTGCCGACTGCATGTTTTTTCTGCCTTTGCGAACTCAAAACATGTCGCGTCCGCCCTTATTTCTTTCTTTTTTTGCTCCCCCCCCCCAAATCTTTTTTTTAAGGCTAGTACATCCTCTTCCCCCCTCCAAAAAAGGAAAAACAGAAGAGCCAACTTCGCAGCAAACGAATATGAGTTCCAAATGGGCAGAAAAAAACACATACGGTGGGTCACTCATGCGCCAAGTTCGAAAAAGGAATAAAAGCCGCGTGGCACTTTCTAATAAGTGCGGATGTCACAACTACAGGGGCGGGCTGTCGTGCTATGTGACCATCTGATCGTCCAGAACGTGCGTTCGCGTTCAAAGCGCGCGTGAACGCGTTGAAACGCGCCACGTGGCATTCAAGTGGCATAAACTGAGCACGCGCCCCCAGCTGGAATGCGGGAATGCGCGCGCGGCGCGTCGGAAGCCACCAGGGGGCGGAGCGGTTTCAAAAAAGAAAACACAAAAAAAATATATTGTGTGTGTGT